CCGTGAGAGCGCTGTTCCACCACTTACTTGCCTTGTTCCTTCTTCCTTTCTTTGGTAGCATTCTCGCTGCTTCTATAATGGTCTTGTTGATACTGTCTATGTCCACTCGCGTCTGTCTATGTTTCCATAGGTAACGCCGATAGGCTTCAATGCTGCCATTCCTTCGTGCCTTCTCCCAGTCAATTTTTTGCTCCTCTGTTTTTTGCTGTTTACATCTCCTTTTCATTTCAACACAGACACATATCGGCTCATGGTCTGACGTGTTGAGAGCGCTTCTTTCTGGAATCTTATACTCTGTTACATACATTGAGTGACCTCTGTCAACCATAAAATAGTCTAGCAGTGATGTTGCTTCAATTTCATTCTTGTAAAATGTGATATGGCCCTCTATGTTGTTGCAGGGAATCATTAATCCATAGTCAGCTAGCATCGCTTCGACATACTTCTTGTTTGGATGCACGTTTTTAGTCAGGTCCACATTGAGATCACCTCCAACAATGATCATCTTCTCTTCACCATACTCCTCAATTATGCCTGTCACCTTATCTATTGTCTCTTGAAACTCAATGGTTGTCTTCTGAAGTGTGCCAGTCGGCAAATATACAGCAATGACTAGGATGTCAATCTCCATGCCTTTTACAATTGCCGCCTGAATCCTAGTGCTGCCACGGTGGTCCACTTCAATCATGCCTAGCTCCTTTCTCGTCATAATCGCTACACCCCCGTGCCCACGACCACTTTTGTTCTGTAAGACGGCATAGTCTATATATTCATCATAGCTTACTGCAATCACATCATGTGTTTCACATCATGCTGATCGAAGGCGAGACCTCTCCCAATCGCCTGACCTGGACAACTGGCGTGATCTGTGCCGTGCATCCTGGACGGGATGGACGATCCCGTGCTGCCTCGGTGCGCACTGGGCGTGGTATCGTAAGGCGGCCCATACAGAAGCTGTATCTCTTGGAGGCCGCATCAGCCAGCCAGACGTCTCCAGAGGTCTGAGTGAGCGCAAATGGTGAAAGTCAATCCACCAGGAAGGGGCATGGGTGCTCGTGCTCCTATGCTCTCGTCATTGTGTACTATTATGTGTTACTATTGTCTTGACTTCCACCCCGGGGAGTATGTTGTGTATTTGCGGTGTTCTGCTAGCAATTATAAAATGACCTCAACATGGAGGTGCCGAGCAGTGCAATGTCTCCCGCAAATATTGTGATTGTTTTTGGATAAAATCTGGGTTCGAGGGGGGACTTGGGAGTGACATGAAAAATGGAATACAGGAAGTGATATATTGTGATTTTGAATATTGAATAGACTGAAGAAAGGAATAATATCTGGAACAGTGGTCTATGACTTCACACTTGACATCTGAGGACGTATACCTATTGCTGAAATTATAACCATTTTAGATATTACGCATTGAAAAGTGCCGAACAATGCGCTCCGACAAATGCAATCAGCACCTGTTTAGGCCCTGTCGCCTGCCGCTATTGCCAGTGAAAGCTTTCACAAGTCTCATTGAACACTCACGTGCTATGAGACGTGCTATAAGGGCATTCACCAGCCTCTACGCCGGTGACGGCAGAAACAGCGCTCGGCCTGCCGCGTGCTGAATGGAGTCGGACCGGGCCCAGGGGAGTGGACCGGACCACGAAAAGGTCGCATTGAGTGGCGTGGTTTATCGCCTACGTGGTGTCGAATTGTAACAACTTTGAGCTGAGCTGGTCCTGCTCCTCAACAGTGGTGCAAGGAGGCATTAATTTATTGCGCTAGCAGCGCAATGGTTGACAAATGAATGGCATACAAATGGAATCGTCGCGAATGCCATGGTGTCGCGACTCGCGAGATGGTCAATGGAACTGGGGGGCGCTCGTTTCGCGCTCGCGTATGGCTTGCGGATGTGTCAAATTTGATATACCTACGCAAGGCATGAGTTGATTACGACTCCTTCCTACAACGCTGTTTATGTATAATGGTTTCGGATCGTCTCCACACTTTTTCCTATCACTTTTATTTCACACACACACACCTGCCATTTTTCACGCCATCTCATCTATTATTTGGTTCGGAACAGTTTCAAAACTGATTCGCTCGAAACAGTAGGGGCATGCCGATGCAACAATAATTCCCGACAGCTATACCATTTCACTGGCTTATTACTTCCGAGGCATTTCCAATTCCTTTGTCTGCCCTAGCACTCGATAGTCAGTAGGTATCGATATTCGGAAGAGCATTGCCGTCTCACTGCCTCATTGCATTCTAGGTGTCTCCTGATCCTTTAACCCGCGCACCGACGGGGGGGGGCGGATATCCGCCCCCCCCCTGAGGTTTTTCGCGGATAGCGGGAAAACCGCGGCGCGTAGCGCCGCGAAATTTGGTATGACTATTCTCTCATCAATTTTACACATGGTGTGCAAGTTTGAACCTCCTAACTTTTAAGGTCAGGTCACCAGGTCACTTTGAATGACCCAACCTCAAGTCACTTTTTTGCAACTTTGTCACCGTGCCAGAGCTACAGTAGATGTCGGAGGCCTTTGAAAGTCGCAGGATGTTATTAGGTCATTAGTAGCTACAATTTGTATATCTCGGAATTTTGATGTCGGTGACCTAAGGTCAGGTCAATTTCGCGACCTCCCCATTATAAGTCAATGGGGGAAAAATCAACTCCCTGTTTTTACCACTAAAACGGGTCGGAATGGCCCCATATACCATACATGACTTCACATACGATCAACCTTCACTACCTTGAGGTCTGTTTTGCTGTTGGGCAGCTGTAAGGTCATGTGACGTCATCAAAGGTCACCAAAGGTTTTTTGCCAATAACTCCTTACAGGAACAAGATACAGCCGCGCGGATGGTCTCATTGTGTTCAGCTCGTCAAGACGCATCGAATGATATACATGATGACCTCGAGGTCACGTGACCTGAGGTCATCCTTTGACCTTGACCTTTCGAGGTCAACATATATATCATTCGATGCGGATTGACGAGAGGATCACGATGATGCCCTTAGTTTGTTCCTATCTTGACTACTTCGAAAGTTATTCGAGAAAAACCCTCTCCATATCTAGCGCCGCCATTTTGACTTTTTCGACCCCTGTGACGTCATCTTTGACCTGACCTGAAAATGACCTTAGTAAAAATTGTAGACCTTGTCCGTGCGTATCCGATGCCGTTTACCGCTTGTCGCTATCTTGCTTCGTTCTCGAGATCTCAGGGGGGGGCGGTCATCCGCCCCCCCCCCGTCGGTACTAAGTTGGCGCAGACCCCCGTCGGTGCGCGGGTTAAGTGCTGCAGCACTCGATCTTCAATATCAGCGCGGGTGAATTTTGAGGTGCCTACCCACATTTGCTCATTAATATTCGATTTTCACACCCTTCACACCCAGTTGCCATGCATAGCCAGTGACACTTCTAACGAAGTTTAACGCAACCACTTCCGTCGCCATCTTGACCCCACACGACACGAGTCCCATCTTTGAATCCTACCCACATCGTCCTACCCGGGTCACCGTATGCCAATCGGTACGTTCGCGGTATTCCACATTTATCCCGTGTCAATCCTCTCTGCATTCATTGGTGAGTCGTACCGGTGCGTCTCACCGGAACTGGCTGATGAGGGGCGACACCAGGCCCCGGAGACCGGCGCGCTATCTATGGAGCAGCCGGGGCCGGCGCTGGCGGCGATACTCTGCGATCAGCCGGCCAGCTGCTCGATATATATGACCGCCGCTATTGCGCCCAATAAATCGGACACCGAACGCCGCCCGCTGCGCACAGTTGTGTTCGGTTCAAACGGCGGGGAGAGGCAGGGAGTTGGAAGAGGAATGGGGAGACGTATGGTTTCGGTAGGCCGTTGTCATGCAACTCTTCATTAAGCAGTTTTTTTAGCAGTTTTTTTTTATTACCAGCTTCGATGTAGTTTATTGCGATAGTCACGTTGAGCTGCTTCGTGCTAGCGCGAATAACTCTTTCCCGGGACGTCTGGACCTGACCCGGCTGGAGGCCTCTGCGAGGTGTTTACTGTTTTGCAGCATAAAGTCGCCGCCGCTGGGTTCCAGCGATCCATCTGTCGGATTTTTATGCCCTGGTTTCCGCGATGTCACGGCTCCAGCTGCGACACCCGACCCGAGCTCTGCTGAGGCAGAGGCTCCTCTCGCCGGGAGCGGCTCTCCGCTGAGCAGAGGCTCCTCTCGCCGGGAGCGGCTCTCCGCTGAACAGAGCCTCCTCTCGCCGGGAGCGGCTCTCCCGCTCGGAGCTCGGAGCTCATCCCCCCCCCCCCCACGCACTGAGTGGAGCGTCTTCAGAGCTCGCTCGGCCGAGAATGGGGTCGCTGATTATGTGTCAGCCGTTCCGCGCGCAAAACGGCCTCTTGTGGAGGGATGGCACGCCCGCTGCCCCCCCCCCCCCCCCGCGACGGGTCAGAAGGGTGACTGGCCTGGGGTGAGCGGTGTCTGAGGAAGTCCGGAAGTGGAGCGGGGATACTATGATTTAGCACAAAAGGCCGTTCAAAGTTGGCTGAGCTCAACACTGAAATGCATACGCACGATCGCCTTATTGCACTGTTAGTGGGCTGACGGGCGACGGCTCTCGGGGGCAGCTAGGCTGAATGGCCGAGAAGCGATGGTGCGTGCTGGGAATGGAAAATAGTGTTATTAGAAGGTCTAAAAATGTTTAATTGGTCCACCAATGATTTATTTAGGTTTACTGTACAGTAACACAGCTAAAAAATATCAATGAGTCCTGAACGACACGAGCATTTAACGAAGCCAGGTTTATAAAGTCATCAAAGGTGCTTCTCAAACATCCTTACTTTAACCGTTACCCGTTATCTCCACTTGTATACCGCCGTCATCGACACTCCCACGCTCGACCATCAATCCACCATTGCCCGCCAGCCGACACCGCGCTACCCCGCGTCCGCAGGTCCAACCTGGACTCCTGCTTCCTGTGTCCACAGGTTTGACAGCTAACTTTGACGCCCCCTCCCCGTGTCCGCAGGTCCAACTTTGACGCCACGCTGCCGCCCATCCTGGTGGATAACGGGCTGGCCGTGCTGGAAAACGAAAAGATCGAGCGGCACATCATGAAGAACGTGCCCGGCGGCCACAACCTGTTCGTACAGGACAAGGAGGTGGCTACCAAGATCGAGAACGTCTACAGCGTGAGTGAGCTCTGCCGAACGAGCCCAAGGATTGGGTCACAATTCTGGGCTGGGACACACTTTGGCCCGGGTTATTGTTGGTTTATGCTGGCGTGTGGTGGGCTTTGGTCGCATCTGAGCGGTCTGGCAAACTACGCAAATTAGACGGCTAATTAGGCGCGCCGTTCCACTGCGACACCCGAGGACTGAATACGAGGACTCGTCCTCATATATTTCTGGACGGTGGCGGATATTCCTCGGGCGTGTCGGGTACTGGGATGGGGAACGTTCCGGCTTATCGGTGCTCGGCGCGCAGAGCTCCGGCGTGCCGACGACTTGTCATCTCATAGTGTCGGGTTCTAAATCTGATGTGTTGAACTGGATGACATCTTCGACAGTCAGCACGTGTCTGAACTCTGATTGAACTCCAGCCCGTGTCTGTCAGTCAGTACACGTCTGGACTCTGACGTGGCGGACTGGGACCGCCGGGGTGGCACTCAGAGCATGTCCGAACGGTAGGGTTTGCTCAGACTCAGACTGCAAGGTTCGTTCAGCCCCAAACGGTAGGGATAACTCAGAACCAAACGGTAGGGTTAGCTCGGACCCAATGATACCAAAACGGTAGGGTTAGCTCTCACCCAAAGTGTTAGCTCATACCCAAACGATGGGATTAACTCAAATCCATGTGCGACACTCGGTGTGGGTGTCCACGCGTCAAAATGACCACGGTGAATCCAGAGCCAAAATGTGTTTTATCGCTGCAATGTGTTCCTCCTGATTGCGGAGATTGTCCGCGCCATTCCTTTTCATTATCCGATGCTGTCTGATGAAAGGCAGCTGCAAGATCCTGTAATGCGCCTGGCTTGTTTGATGGTTTCGGCTCCGCGGAATGTTACATGGTTAGGAGAAAATCGAAGAGGTTAAGGGAGCGAGAGATTTTAGAAGAGTTTTAGTAGAAAATCGAGTGCAGTATGGTGCTTTTTCGTAGGGATGTTTACCTCTTCATGATAAAAAATTAAGGCACTTGATACAACCAACTTTTGTATCCCAAAACCACCAGTATGGTGCCTAAACTTTGTTCAACATATCTGCCATTTATGACAGAAACAGCCTAATTACTGCGTACCATGTGAGTGGTCATTGATGACCGGACCCAGGATGTCGTCTCTCCCGGACCACCCCTCTCAGACTTGGGACTCAGGAGTCCCGTCTCCCCAGAACATCTCAGCCCTGCGGTCCCACTCGGCCGACCGGATTCCGAGCACCGGTCGATATCCCTTCCCCCACCGTCCCTCCCCGCCGTCCCTCCCCACCCTTGAAGCTCCCTGAGCCATCGGCACGTGACCAACCCGCCCCGCATATCAACACATCTCCCCCACTACTGGGCATTCATACGGCGGACGCAGGATGGCCACTCCACCCCGCCTCCCTCCCTTACCCCGCTCGTACGCTGATGACAGCTGCGCGGACACAACCACGGAGAAAACGAGTCTGGTACTGACGGCTGAAAGGCTGATGCGTTTCCCCTCTCGTGTGGACCTTGTGTGAGCGGACCGCTCGTTGCCGGGGTTACGGTGGTCGGGCGGAGGACCGGGGCAGCGTACGGGCGTGTGTGTGACGGCTCGGCCCTGACAGAGCGCTGGTCGACCCTCTGGCTCGGTTCCACCGGACGGGGCGGGTCCGTGGGTCGGCCCTGTCGCCTCCAGTGGCGGAGAGGCCGTCAGATACAGCCAGTGCTGCTGGCAGGGTGACCCAGCGAGCGGTGGCGCGCCTCGCTGGTCCTAGGAAGCCCCTCGGTAGTCCGTCGTGAGGTCGTGAGGGGTCCCTGCCCGGGGTTGTTTGCTCCGGCCGAATGGCGCGGGCCGTTCATACTGCAGTTATTACTCGCTGGATGGCCGAGATGGGCCGGGGAACGGCCGAGGCCCCGTGTGACGGACGTCAACAGCCATCCAATTTACATAGCGCCGGACGGAGAGCCGGACGACAGCCACTCGCAGCCTACTAACGGAGATCGTGGAGGGCGCTTTGACGCTGGGCTGCTTCACATAGAGCGGGCAACGTACACAATGTGTGTACAATTTATGTTGAGGCTCACGAGTACACTATTTTTAGAGATCGATCGTTGTTTGGTTGCTTCTTTCCCAGCATTTCCCATGTCTGGGTGGGGCGGGCGCTCGTCCTGCACCCGTACCGTCCCGTGCTTGACCGACCTGTGCGTGTCCCGAACCCGTGCCGTCCCGTGCGTGTGTGCTGGCACGGGATGGCACTGCCGTCCGCCGCGCTGGTAATGGACAGGCTGATCAGGTGATTTGTAAATGGATGTGCGGTCCCATGACAGACAGACTTGTCCAACAGTCTGGCGCTCCGAAACACATTCCTTGGTTGACGAGCTTTTGGAGCATTCCTTTTGTTACTCTGGGATTTGTTAGTCTCTTGCGCTGCAACATAAGTGAGATGATAGTCCCGCATCGTCCGTGATTACAATTCGAAGCTTCGTAAGCGGCTGTCTGTTCAAGAGACCATCCCGTTCCTTCTCGCCCTGGCTGTAGGTTGTAGATCCAGCCGTTAGTGGGTGAGGGAACTGCGAGCGGTCGGTCGACGGCGCGTCTGTGCGCGGCCCGGGGGACCACTCCAGTAGAGTGGATTTATGGTACGCTCAGAACTCTGTTAAATATGTAGTAGCCATGGCTGCGAGCGGCCTATGAAGATGCATGCGTCTCTTGATATGAAATGGTCGCAGATCTGTATGCATTCTGTCGAACGTTTCGGTCGGTCGAGTAGAGTATGTATATTTATTCACGACTTTACATTGTTTTCATAATTTTGTTATAAGCGCAGAGATGTGTCGGTCTTTAGAAAAGGGTTCTTCAGTTGACATTAACTGATACCTCTGATACCTCGTATGACTACCAAAAGTGTCTGTCACCGACGAAAAGTGTCTGTCGAAAAAGCCACTGACAGGCACCGGCGATGTTCCAGTCATTCCGGAATATATCACCGGACCCATCGCTGTTATATTCGTCTGGCCTTTCGCTGCTCTTCCATCTTCACCGCGATCTAGCCAATGCACCCTGCCGCTCTGACCCACAGAAATTCAAGCTGATGCTGCTGAAGGGAGACGACCACTCGAAGCAGGTGCTGCTCTCCGTGCTGCGGAAGATCGACGAGCACCTGGGCCAGAAGAAGACGCGCTTCCTGACGGGCGACACGTTGTGCTGCTTCGACTGCGAGCTGATGCCCAAGCTGCAGCACATCCGGGTGGCAGGTACGGGCGCAGCGGCCGGCTCTGGCGTCTTCCCCGTCAGGATAGAGTGGTCCATTGGATGTGTCGGCTACTGACCTGTGACTACTGGTCCGTTATAGCAGAGCAATAAGGCTTTTGCCCATTACCGACTCTTTGCCAATGCTAGACAGTGGACCTGGAACTTCCACGCAGCTAAGCTTTCTTCTTTCTTTCCTAATATCTTATGCGCCATTGTTTCCGTCTGTACATCCCCAAGCGACCTCTCGCCCCTTCGTTGACCTTTCCAGTGACTGCTGAACTTTCCATCGGCGACGTCCTGTACCCTCTCCCTTGGACTTCTTGTGGTTTGTGAACTTTTTCCGAAATATTTGAACTTTATCAATCAACTATGACACTTTCCGAGACCAGCAACTCACTGTGGTTTGATACCTCTCCCGACGACATTTGACCTTTCCCTTGGGCGACGACCTGTGGCATGCCTGTGACCTGCACCCCCCCTCCCCGTTGACCTGTGACCTTTCCCCGTAACCCCCGCCACCGGCGCCATGACCATGATCGGCGTGGCGGTCGTCCCGCCGCCGCTCGTAACTTGCTGATGGCCCCGCTCGAGACTGCGGCCGGGTCGCGGCGCCGCCCGCGCACCATCCGCCGCCACCCTCGTCTCTCACGTCGGCGACCATTACCCTGGATTCCGGTGCCGTCCTTTGATGGGAAAAATCAGCGAAAACCTCAACATCACAGCGCGGCTTACCATGTTTTATGGAAAATGTTCAGGGGCGTCGCCACGGATTTTTGACTGGGGGGGACGGATTGGCTGACTAAAAACCCAAAAGCTAGTTACCGTACAATTTCAGGCCTATGCACTACTTATAACGCATACACAATACACATGTTCTCATGTTCTCGCGTGGAGGCGTTATTAGTCACACTCTTTTCTATCTGTGCATGAATTGGCGGCGCGAAGCGCCGCGAAAATTGGCAAAAACTCTTGGCAAAACAGTCCCAAAACGCATAAATTTTGCATCCCGAGTAATAAGTTTGATACCAGGACAGTTAGGATCTGGTCACCAAGTCCAGCAGCCCTGCCTCTAAAAAATCGTGTGGTCCTCTGTCAACCATAGGTACAGCTTATTTCCAAGAAGTTTGAAACTCTGTGCAGTGTAGCTGCAGGACCGCGGGGTCGGAGTCGACTTCGGTCGTAGTCGACGGTTTTGGTCGGATACGGAGTTGGAGTCACCAAAGTCGTACCAGACTTCAACTCTGAAGTCAGAGTCAACGTCATCCCCGAGGATGGGTCGGATAAAAGCTGGAGATTCTGTTGGCTGTGGTGATTGAAGGCCGGGTCATGGTAAGACCAATGTAGGACCATACTGAGTATTACATCCTCCTGGGCTCTCTCAGACCAGGACGAGGTCCTCTCACCCTCAAGCATCAAGCGTTCAAAGGACATGGTGAGACCTTCTGCTGTCGGATGGCCTTGAACGGGAAGAGGGCCGTTTGAGAGTGAGCTGAAGGTCTTGACTATTACGAATATCCTACATAAAATGTGTGGTCTTTGCAAGCTTGAGACTTTGGGACAGATCTTCAGCCCTTGTTGAATATGGTCGCCCCTACAACTGGAGCTTTGGCTCCCTATCGAGGACCTGGGACGGACAGTCCAGAGCTGCACCTCGTAGGTAATGTTATCTTTTAACGTGCCAAGAAATGTTCAAAGAGACAAAAGCATCACATCACATGTTTTTCACTCCGATGCGGGCCGAGGGATGCCGTGATCGGAGATGGGGTGGGGACTCCGAGCGATTTTTTAAAAGCCGGAGTCAGAGCTACCAAAATCAATCTACTCCGCAGCCCTGCAAGCAAGTGCAGTGTCAGCAATTCGCATGATTCAATTTGTATACGAGTAGGTATCCGCAATTTCATCCCAAAACGACAATACACCAATTTCGTTGATCACTTTTTTAATCATTCATGAGGATATTTTTGCGGGGGACGTCCCCCCCGGATTCCTCGACTGGGGGGGGACGCGTCCCCCCCGTCCCCCCCGGTTTCGACGCCCATGAAAATGTTGAAGCGTTATATGAAATGGAACGGTGTAAGATCACAGTTCGTATGATTTTCGATGTCACAGCCACTTTTTACATTGATTTCCTGCCTAACAGTCTCCGTTTTTGCCGTGTTTCGGTCCGAGTTTGTGCAGCTTTTTCACGCCGTGTGCCCAAGTGCCGCCGCTCGGTCGGTGAGTGCGGTGGCCGTTGGCGGACAGACGCCGCCGCCGAACGGTCCGGAGACGAGATTTGTCGCCGCCCTGCCAGGATGGAGGGCGAGTCATTAGCCGGGGGGGGGGGGGGTGACGCTCGGTGCCGTGGCTCGCGGGGGAGGGCGGTATTGGCCGCGATGTGGTGGCGGCGCCGATACGCTGATGGGGAGGTGCTCACGGCGCCGTAGTAGCGCCGTCGGTTCAGGGTGTGACCCGATTCTGTCGTGGTAGGTTGTAGACGGTGAAATGGCATGTGTGTGGCGGCTGACACCAGACTTTGGTGCCTGGCGGCCGGTGCCGTGGCGTCGGCCGGTGTTTTATCCCTTGGTTTACCCTTACCCAGACATGGTGCCTCGATATAAGTACATTGTGTGCTTTTGCATCATGTCTTATCTGTTTGTTCAACTTTATTTTTGCATGCCTTGATCAATAAACGAAGTGATGATGATGATGATGACGTACCCAGTGCCCGTTCTATAAAAGTGTGAGCGTTTGTATGGATAATGTGGCGTTTGACCGTCGTGGTTTCTGTGTGTTCGTTTGCAGGGAAGTTTTTCCAGGAGTTTGAGATTCCTGCCGAGTTCGAGAACCTGTGGCGCTACATGCACCACATGTACCTGCTGGACGCCTTCACACAGTCGTGTCCGGCCGACCAGGACATCATCAACCACTACAAGCTGCAGCAGGTCAGTCAGATACAATACACCATACTATAAGCTGCAGCAGGGCAGTGGTACACGGTAATACAAGCTGCAGCAGGTCAGCGAAACACGACACTACAAGCTGCAGCAGGTCAATGATACATCACACTAACTACAAGCTGCAGCAGGTCAGACGAGGACACTCGGGAGACAAACAGGGGACTCCTTTCCATGTGAGCTCGGCTAATCACACGACTCGACTAACCTACAGCGAGTTAGCGTAACGCCACACATTTAGCATAAGCTGCATAATGCTGAGTCACAAAACATGCGGCGGGCCACTGCTGCTTGTTGATGCCGAAGCGAGCGAAGTGATGCCGAATCCGAAGTTCTCCGTTTTATGGTGAAGTGCATGGTTTTATGTCAAAGGCACCCTGTTTGGTCTGGTCATGCAACCATCTCATAAATTGCCCACCATGGCTACTCTAGTAGTTTGCAATAGTATTTAATTGCAATGTGCTCACGCGAACATTCGTTTTTATTATGCTTATGTTTCCGACTTCCAGGTCAAGCGTGTTTCTCTTATGTTTGGTAGCGACATTGTTATTGCCGCTAGCCTTTGATGTTGGCGGCGTATTGCTATTCCTATCCACGCCTACTGACGTTACTGCGCGTTCACATTGCCTGTCCCCATGCCGTTTCCGACCAATGACCTTTCGCATTTCTCCACATTTTGGTGACGTAGTTCGTATTCAGACGGCGCTGGACTATTTTCGAGCCGCACATCCGGCGTCACGGCCGCAGCCTCAGACGGCACACAAATCATATTCAGTCCATAGATCTTGTTAAATTCTGGCCGTCCTCACAGAGGTTGACGCGGCCTGCCGGGCGGCGCTCGGTGACCAATGTTGTGTTATGAATCGGCCCGGCTGCCAGCCGCAGGTTGGCCGAGCACAGTTTACCGTCCAATCTCGGTCGGCGATTGAGCCGCGCGCTCGTGATGCCAGCTCCCATCAGGCCGCTGATCACCGGCTGGGTTACTTTGGTGCGCCGTTTGTCCTATATACGGCACGACCGTCCAGCTTTGTCTGCGGGACCGCTGTCGCGGCTGCCTTCCGCGCGCCAGCAACGCTAACGGATGGGGGACGGTCAGAGTCGCGCGGGGTCGATTTCATTCCCCGGGCAGAGCAAAGAAACGCCGCCGCCGGCCCGGCTGTCTGTCTCCGACCAAAGTTCGTGACATTGCTGTCGCCTTTACGGCCATCCAGGAGATGACTCAAAGGCGGCACTGGAACCACGTCGGTTGGTGAGTTCCATTATTTTGGTAAGAGGTTTGCAGGATATAATAAGCCCCTTTTCTGAAGTCTGATGTTTTATAAATGTATGCCAAATTTTGGTAGGGCGATGTTCATTAAACAATCCGGGGTTTATTTTAGGATCCCTTTTAATCCTAGGCTTGCAATCCTCCATTCCGACCCATATCACTTATTCCTCGCCATGCCGTGTCGTTTACCAATCATTTTTCTCACTGCAAAACTCCGTGTCCGACTCTTTTCCCGCACCATTCTATACCTAACTTCTGTCGTGTTTCAGCGCACGAAGATGAAGAAGCACGAGGAACTGGAGACGCCCTCGTTTACCACCTCGATCCCGCCATCGGTCCAGGTCGACTGACGGCCGCCCGTCCCCCGCGCAGACCGGCAGACGGCCGCCGGTACCCCGCGCAGACCGGCAGACGGCTGCCGGTACCCCGCGCAGACCGGCAGACGGCCGCCCGTCCCCCGCGGCCGGTCCAGCTGACGGCCGCCGGTACCCCGCGCAGACCGGCAGACGGCCGCCGGTCCCTCTGGCGGTCCGGCCCGCAGGCGGTGCTGAACTGAGCGCCCGCCCGCCCGCCCGTGACGGTCCGGCCGGCGGATGTGTATGTTGATGTGGGCTGATCTGAACTGCGGCCTGCTGCACAGTCGTCAGACGTGTATCGGGTCCTCCCAGTCCGCTGTGTGGATGTGGACACGCGCCCGCCTTGACATAGTCGGGCGTACATCGGGCCGGACTGGACGCGACTAGCTGCTCTACGTATCGCAGTGCTTCTGCAGAGCAGACTGACAGGCCAGATGATTGCGTTTTGCCGTGGGCGGGTATGTTATGTGCTTCTGTGGTTACTCTGCGAAATTGTTCGCAATGGCGGCGCGTCCGAATGACCAAGGGACAGTGAAGGGTGGGCTCACTCGCCTATTCGATCTCTCTGCCGAAGGGATGTCGCCTTCTGAATTAGCCGCTTGTGCCTGAGAATGACTGAACTCACTATGTCACAACATTCCGGGTGGGAGGCCCAGGGCGGCGACCCGGGGCTCCCGCACGGAGAGAGAAAATATACTGACCGAATATGCGGACTTGGTTGTATGCGTGTGTGGGAGGTTGTGTAAAGCTGCCGAAGACAGAGGCTGGCTCAAGTCTCTGTGAAACGCCGTTACCTTTTTATAACTCAAGTTTTAAGTGCATAGCTGCTTGTATTCCCCTTTCAATCCCCAAAAAGAGAATGGTGAAAGAAAATAGTTTGGTATATGTTGTGCGGTGACGGAAAATTGACTTCCGCAATGCGTGCTCAGTGGCCACCCTGCGCTGTCGTAAAGGCGCTGCGCGTAGGTGCTCTTTCATCTTCCTTTCAATTTCATTCCACTTTTTGTTTGTCACACGTCAGGAACTGGAAAACAATATTTATTATTAACTGCATCGGCCGAAAAGTTTTTTACGGTAAGATAGATCCTTCAAATAGGTCATGGTCTCAAGTAAATCTGACAGTCGCCAGAAGCACTGGCGAATTGATGAGGGACATTTGCTCCTCACTCAGCACCCGTAATTAAATAAATGTATCCGTTTCCGTTGCATAGAAAGAACACAAAATATATTTTGTTTTATAACAGGCTTGTTTTAAACTGTGCAGCAAGAGATACAGAAGAAAGGTCCAAAGATATGTGGAAAATATCCAATTATTTTTTACGTATACCCCGGCCCCACCTTCCAGCGTCTGATGAAACCCTTTTCTGGACGGATCCGCTAATGCCCAGGAGCAGCTAATCGTAAAACATTCGGATGAACACCGCAAGTCAATGACGAGCTGCTTCAAAGGAAATACACCGAGACAGGGTTTATGACGAGAGAAGGGTCTCGGCTCGAGTAGCTCAGCCTCAGACCGAGCTGCTGCCAGTGCCGGTCGGCTACTCGAACAGGCCGAGCGGCCGCCGGTCCCGGCCACTTCTCGAACAGGCCGAGCTGCCGCCGGTCCCGGCCACTTCTCGAACAGGCCAAGCGGCCGCCGGTTGCGGCCACTACTCGAACAAGCCGAGCGACCGCCGGTTCCGGCCACTACTCGAACAGGGCCAGCTCGCAGACGTTCATCAGTATGCCCCACGAGTGCCAGTCGGTGTAAAGACCGTTCACAAGCGTAGTATACGCCAGGTCGCGATTGTCGTTGGGCTGGCCCGCCTCCCAGACGTCAGCCGGCAGCTCCAGCGGGTTGTTCTCCAGGTCCGTGTAGGTGTACGATGGAGCGGGGCCGTGCACCAGGACGCCGATGTACAGAACGTGTGGGTAATCAAGATTTGTTGGGTTGAAGCCGGGTATGGCGTTGGCCTCCGCGCCCAGCTGGGAGACGCAGTTGCGCTCCTCGGCCGTGATCGGTATTGCCATCCGTCCGCCCGGCTGCTGGGCGCAGGCCGCCTTGGCCAGGTCGCGTCCCATGGGCGGCAGGATGCGGTAGGCGGTGCGGCCGCAGGCCGAGTAGCCGGCCGGCACCGGCCGCAGCTGGCGCACGAACGTGCCGTCCAGGCCGGCGTACAGAGCCGAGAACAGCCGGCACGTGGAGCCGGCGTGGTGGAAGCCGACGCAGCCGTTGCCGGCGATGTTGCAGTGCATGCCGCACAGGAGCGGGTTACCGGTGGTGAGCTGGGCCAGCTCCGAGCCGGCCGCGTCTCCGTCGGGCAGCTGGCGCAGGTACAGCGTGCCGCTGACGGCTGCCGCACACCACAGCAGCCGCAGCGGCGCCAGGAGGGACATGATGGGACGCTGACACGGATCTGCCCGAGTCAGGAACTCAGCGGGGACTCACGACCTGGGACGGTGCTGCACTGCTGAGCTGGGGCTGATTGCTGACTGCTGACCAGGGCTGATTGGGGACAGCTGACCTGGGGCTGATTGCTGACCGCTGACTTGGGGCGGTGCGGACTGCTGACCCGGGTCTGACCGCTGACCTGGGGCTGATTGCTGACTGCTGACCTCGGGCGGTGCGGACTGCTGAGTGCTGACCAGGGCTGATTGCTGACTGCTGAGCTGGGGCTGATTGCTGACCGCTGACCTCGGGCGGTGCGGACTGCTGACCTGGGGCGGTGCGGACTGCTGACCTCGGGCGGTACGGACTGCTCACTCTGCTGACCTCGGGCGGTGCGGACTGCTGACCTAGGGCTGACTGCTGACCTCGGGCGGTGCGGACTGCTGACCTAGGGTGGTGCGGACTGCTGACCTAGGGCTGACTGCTGGCCGTCAACTACCTAACAAACAAACCTCACCTACCGTCCAACCGTCCGACTGATTGTCGGTGCATTTCGTTGCAGCCCTCACCCAGGGGGCGTGATCAGCGTCAGCCAACCAGCGCGGTGGTGCGCCGACTTGTTGGCCGGGCGACTTGCGCGATTATTTGAGCATGGTAGTCAGTGCGACCATTCAACAATAATGACAACACCAAGAAAGCACTACTAGGAATTGGTTCATTAATCTACTCAGAGCCTCTTGGTGTTCTTTCTGTAACAAAGCATCCATTGAGCATTGATAGCTGTGTTAGTACGCGACCAATGGGGACCAATTGGTGGGCTTTGTGACACCAAGTACCAATTCTTAGGAGTCATGAACGCCTTTGACGGTCTAGTTGCTGAATGCAGTGTCAGATACGAATGCGATAGTTCATGGCCGCACCGCATTAGCCCACAACCATTTGCAAAGGCAAATAGGAAGACTTTTGTGAGTAGGTACGACCATAAATATAGCCACTACATGGGCATATAGCTAGACGGTATTTAGCTCGTAAAACGCCTTTTACTTACGTAATCGATTATGTAGTGGCTAGCTTGCATAATAGACTTTCAAATGTTCTTAAAAATACTCGATTATACTTAATATTTCTATTTTCTATTGCTTAGTTGTGGGACCAAAAATAATGCCTACGACTTTTGCGGTCAAGCTGATTTAGCTTCGAAACAAAACGCCATAGTTTTTTATTACCTACAATAGCCAGTAAAACGAAAAATTTCCCGTGGTTTATCATGTAGGTAGGTTTGTTGTTTTTGTTTACGACATACATTAAACATAAATGATATTGTTTTCCTAGCTCAAATTGTGTTTCAGTGGTCGATGGAAGTAACGTTTCCATTGATGAGTTGATTTTCCTATTTAGATTCAATTTGGCAGATCCCTATCACCCAGCAAGCATTAGGTATTTTGCCGCGGCGTACAGAAACAATCATAGGCGCGTGAGCCGGGGGGGCAGTGGGGGCAGCTTGCCCCCCCCCAACTCTGGGGCCGTGGGGGCGGTGCCCCCACAGCTTTGAGACGGAATACCACACTTTTTTTGCAAATGTTTTCTTTTTTTTGTTGAAAAAGCCGAGGGGTGAAAAATAAGTGACCTAAAACCGGTGAGAAAACTAGATTTGGGGGTACCCTAGGTTAATCTCTATTATGGTGTGCCCCCCCCCCCCTCCAGTCGGAAAGTAGTTCCCGCGCCCCTGGAAACAATAACGAATGTTTGTCGCTTCGCTTACTTTGTGCATAACAGTCGTGTCACGAACACTGTACGTCAGCCCGAGTCCACAGGGAACGTGGCGGCCCCTGGCGCCCCCCGGGGCTTCAGTCGCCTGGTCGACACTGCAGTGACTACCGGGACTCTGTGGAAGGCCTGTGGCCTGCGACTGACGGCGAGCAGTCGGCAGTCAGAGGTCAGCAAACCCGCACTGACGAGCTGTCGGTGCCATAGGCAGTGTCCGGCGCCGTCCCAGGACAGTGGTCAGACCCGGGTCAGCAGTCCGCACCGCCCGAGGTCAGCAGTCCGCACCGCCCGAGGTCAGCAGTCAGCAATCAGCCCTAGGTCAGCAGTCCGCACCGCCCTAGGTCAGCAGTCCGCACCGCCCGAGGTCAGCAGCCAGCAATCAGCCCCAGGTCAGCGGTCAGACCCCGGTCAGCAGTCCGCACCGCCCGAGGTCAGCGGTCAGCAATCAGCCTCTGGTCAGCGATCAGCACCGTCCCAGGTCGTGAGTCCCCGCTGAGTTCCTGACTCGGGCCGAGCCGTGTCAGCGTCCCATCATGTCTCTCCTGGCGCCGCTGCGGCTGCTGTGGTGTGCGGCAGCCGTCAGCGGCACGCTGTACCTGCGCCAGCCGCCCGACGGAGACACGGCCGGCTCGGAGCTGGCCCAGCTCACCACCGGTAACCCGCTCCTGTGCGGCATGCACTGCAACATCGCCGGCAGCGGCTGCGTCGGCTTCCACCACGCCGGCTCCACGTGCCGGCTGTTCTCGGCTCTGTACGCCGGCCTGGACGGCACGTTCGTGCGCCAGCTGCGGTCGGTGCCGGCCGGCTACTCGACCTGCGGCCGCACCGCCTACCGCATCCTGCCGCCCATGGGACGCGACCTGGCCAAGGCGGCCTGCGCCCAGCAGCCGGGCGGACGGATGGCAATACCGATCACGGCCGAGGAGCGCAACTGCGTCTCCCAGCTGGGCGCGGAGGCCAACGCCATACCCGGCTTCAACCCAGCAAATCTGGAACACCCCAGCGCGATTTACATCGGCGTCCTGGTGCACGGCCCCGCTCCATCGTACACCTACACGGACCTGGAGAACAACCCGCTGGAGCTGCCGGCTGACGTCTGGGAGGCGGGCCAGCCCGACGACGGTCGCGACCTGGCGTATGCTACGCTTACAGACGGCCTCTACACCGACTGGCACTCGTGGGGCGTACTGATGAACGCCTGCGAGCTCGGCCTGTTCGAGTGACCGGCCGGTCAGCTCGGCTTCGTCCGTGCACACTCTTCTTTCGTTGAAAATCGATAAAGCTGCTTTGATTGATAAAACTCTATTACCTATTTCTACGCACTTGTGCACACAAAAATAAACGAGCAAAGGCGACTTGCCTGCTAGGCTGACGGCTACACAAACCATTACCATTACCAAGGCAGGAGACCGGATGACAACTCGAACCGGACTCCAATGGCCTCTATTACAATGCTGAACATGGGTCAAAAGCTGCGTCTTTAGGGCCGGGGCCGGCAAGAGCCACATAGTTACATCCATTAGTGTCCCGCGATCCGCGTACCTACCCGTGGTGACTTATTGCACGGAACACACGTCA